TATGTGGTTATTTCTGTATAGATAATCATCTAGGGATATGTAAAAAACAGACTAAGGACAATGCATGTTCAAGAATTACTCTTCCATGTGTTTCGTCAAATTAACACAACTGAAAATGTGCAAAAAAGTTTATACAAATGTATATACTCACAAAAGGCTTCTACAGCTGAAGCAGTCAGTCACACTTCTGCAGGACTGAATGATACTAAAGACTCACATTTAGGTTTGACACTTGGATGTTTTCCAATAATTCTGACTGATTTTACTATAGACTAATCAGATACAAATTGGATAAATGATGGCTACAGATGCACAGATCAAAGAGGCTGTTTGGGCTTATTGTTTGGGTGTTTTACTTCCTTTTTTCCTGTTTTGTGTCTGGTTTTGTTTTCTCCTTCTCACTTTGCAATGTAAAAGTTAACAACCTTAGTGACATGGCCTGAAAAGACTCAAGAGTTCTGCTGATATACCATGTTTTGAAAAAAGGGATATTCTTTCCTCTTAAAATACCAAAGATCATTTATGTGAGAGGAAAAAGAGTGACTAAGATCTTTATAAATAGGAATTGAAAGCTGGGTTGCTAAAGCCATATTTAGCCAGCTATATAAGGTTGACCTGATTCACAAATACGCCAAGCCTCCTTTATGCTTTTGTCATTGCATATCATTTAGGTTTAAAGAGTGTCCAGCATAGTTAAAAATGAGGCCACTAATTTTAGAGCACAAATAGAATTGAAATAACCTAACACTTAGATCCTGTTTCTAAAATGTCAGTATTTTTGCTTAGAAGTTCTCTGGTTTCGCTTACCTGATAGCTCTGCTGGGCAAAACTGCTGTAAGAATAGCCAAACTAGGTAAGACCAGAAGTCCATCCACCCCATTATTCTGTTTTCAGCAGTTATTGGTACTAAGCATTTAAGAAAAAAAACTAAGAGCCTGTACATACCAAGGGACACTTGTCTCATTGGCAATATGTAATGTGACCAGTCAAGTTACTGACAAACAGTACTTGACTAATAATTTTTCTTTTTGCTATCACTTACTACAAAACTAGCACATCTAAAGTATATTAATCACGTGTGCTGGATATAACAACCTTTGAGGACCATTGTTTCAAAAAAAAGTACTTCAACTCAATGCAAATGGAGGCTTACAACCCTCAGGGGAGTAAAATAAATATCAGCACATTTGCTGTGAAGAAGTAAAAAAAATGGTAAAGAGTTTCTAAAGCCACGGAAACACAAGAGATTGGTGTGACTGTCAAACAGTTATCAAGTAAAAACTTCCATAGGGAAAAAATATATATAAAAAAAAGTGGGCTTATGCAATTAAATAGTGCAAGAGAAGTCAAGGTCTCAAGCACAGGCTCAGGCGGCAAAAAAGTTTAGTCTCTGTATTCAAAAGAACGTTTTCCGCTGGGGAACCAAAAAACCCCAAGAAGTTCAGTCTCTTCAGGTTTTGCCAAAAGGCAAGGAAATTGAGTTGTAGGTCAGTGGGAAGACATGTTGAAACACTAGGTTATTAAATGTGATCCACAAAACTGGACTGAGAGTGAGCTGATCTTAACAGTGCAAACAACCAGTGAACACACAGAACATAATTTTTATCTGAAGTCTTTCAGTCAGCTTGGTTCACATTCGTAACTACTGGCTCACATTAGCGCATTTGCAAAAGGTAAACAACTCTGCTATTTAAACACCAGTGGGGTTGACAGTTCTTCAGGGGGTGTCATGTCATCATCAACAGCACCACAACATGGTGCTACTGCTTTTAACCCCTTAGCTCTCCTAGTACATTAACCATGCACATCTTTCAATGCAATGTGAGGTCAGAGATCTCTTCCCTGAACTAATTTTGGGAGCTCCAGAGTCTTTGCAGTCTGACACACTTCCCTAGTCCTCTTCCTCCAATTCACTCTCTTCTTCTAGTGAGAGAACTTAAGGTCAGATAATTAAGTGCTGTTAGGTATTCATAAAACTCTCAACATTCTAAAGAAAGCACCAAATCTGAACCTGAACAGCTTTAAAGCTATTTAAATTCGGTCCACAATGCTTTATTCCTTTAGTTTATGTACAGTTTAACACAGTATCACCAACAAAGACATATAAACCACATTATTATTCTACTAGCATAAATTTGGGAGAAGCTGTACTGAATTACTTGAACTTAGACAGTGTAAAGCCAAGACAATGTGCAAAATTAAATCATCCAGCCTCAAAGATCTGCAGGAAGCAAGAGAGGATGATTTAATTTATTATATATAGTCAAGGTCCCGTTTCTATGCAGAAGTCCATAGCAAATTTAAAAAACACAGGAAGAGGTGTTCACGAAACACAAGCAAAGTTAATATGCTTTCAACTGGAGTTTTTCTCATACAGTAGCTGTCAGACTTAGGAGGAATGCAGTTGACCCGCAGCAGTAGCTACTGGAATAGACAGCTTAAAACACCTAATTAGGTCACTCTGTGCAAGAACTATCATCATTTCATACCAGTCTAAAATGTTGGAGAAACATGTCCCTTAAGTAAAGGGAAGTATTTGGGCATCTAAAAACCACAGCAAGTATCAGCTAATGAGGAACAGACAAAGAAAAGTGCCAAAAGCTGTAAAGTCCTGATACTTCACATAATGACTAAATTTATGACTGCTTCCTTTCCTGGCAGACAGGAGTACAGTTAGAACTCTCAAAACAACAACCCCTTTGTGCTGGCATGCTGTATTATGTTTATACTGCTACAGATAGACTAGAAGATAAAAAATAAATACTACAGCACCCTTTTTATACACAGATAATAGTTAACTTTTTTTTAATGTGGGTTTGGACATGGTTTCACACATAGCTTATTCTTAACTGAAGTAATTTACGTAATTATCACTGCTTTAACCATTTAAGTAGCTTGTTATATACACAGAAGTCTCCATCTGAAGAATCATACAAAACAAGAACAAACGAGCTATTATGAGTCATTTTATAATTTCCTTTGCTGTCCAAATACAGTCTGACATTTAAACAGATTAAGTTATTCCTTTATTCGAGTTTTGGCTTGATGAACTGTTGAATAAAAAGCATCAGGAAGCATGCATTCTCTTTCTTTCATCTTTGATTATATTCAACAATATGGATCACTTGGAACTGACAATGGTTTGACGAAGGATAGGGAAATAAAAGCATGTATTTTCTTCATCTCCTTCTCAAAGAAAAGCATAATTACAATATTCAGAACATATAATCTTGACTCAGATAACTACAGATGGTTTTACAACAGAATACCCTGCAGGCATCTTTTCCTTATAAATTCTGGGACAGATACATGCAGGGGAAGCTCCCAAAGAGCAGCAGTATATGAGCAACTGAATCTTGAACATGTCTCTTACTGCATGCTCTCATTTTGCCCAAAACATCTCCCTCCTCCTTCTCTTTCATTTTGTACTGTATGTGCATTTTGCCCTTCATGGTTCCACCAATCACCACTCTTAGATCACCACAACTAAGTAAAATAGACAATTTCTTCCTCAATTACAGTGATGTTCCATAAGTACCTGTGTCAACTTTTTAGTACCATGGCTTTCAAGTCAGCAGCTAAACAGTTGTACACATTTTGTATGGTTTCAAAACCATGGTACATAACACCACACCTAACCTCCAAATCAAACCACTGTGTAAAGCATCAGACAGTCTACCAGTCTGTGGCAGGTGCCCAAAGCAACCAGGACTCATGTAAGTTTCTTGATGCTTCCATTTAGGAGTTCATTAGGCAAAAAGCTATCATTGAAAACTCAGTAAACAGTACAAGGTATCTACAAAGCAGTGAGGCTTATATGACAAAGGAGGTCACTGAATGCTTAAGTTTTTAATTTTATAGATCTTCATTTAAAAAAAAGAAAATAAACATATACTAAAAACCATACAATATTATTACACGCCAGCATAATTTTCTATTTTTATCCTTAAGGAGGATTGCAAGTGGGAAGTTGTAGGAAAAAAATCTACGTAAATAAGAAACAAAACATGTAGTATGAAACAAAACATTTCCTTATTTGATTAATTATACAGTTTGTAAAAAGAAATAAACTACATGTTCACCTAAGCATTTCAAATGGCAGTTTGTGCAATTTGTTGAAGTTGCCTCAGATATCAAAGGTACTTGACAACTGCCCCAAAACTCCAAAATTCAAACCCATTACTCTGGGAATACACCCTTCAGCCCTCATGTTTCTAGCAGAGTCTTCCCTTTAATTTTTCCCTTGGATGCCTAAATGAATCACCTCTACTGTTGACACTAGGCAAATGGGAAATAAAAACAGTGTTTCATTCTCGGGGATTAACAAACACTATCTCATTACCAACATGAAAATATATAGACTTTTAAGAAAAATAAAAGGCAGATGGAGAATTTCAATTGCTAGGCATTGCCTTACAACTAATAGAGCTAGAAGTCTATTGTCATTGCACAACTGGAAATTACATTGTAAACCCAAAAATATTTAAGCTTTTTATTCTCCACAATTCCATGAAAGCTTGGTCATATCCTTACAGTTCATCTTACTCAGCTTCCAAAGACCATTGTTTGAACAGAAAATCTTAAATCACAAAAGGCTTACGAATAAGCTCTAGATTCGGATTTTAAGATGCTCTTTTTCTGTCAAGACATAATGGTAAATCAATGACAAAAGAAAACATGACAAAATTATAGCAGCATCAATAATTTAAGTTGATAGAGCCAATAAAAGAACTTCAGTTTGGCAAATGAGGAAAGTCAGATCCACATGTCTAATAAGCTTGTATTTTCCTCCCCTGAGCCCCGTTGAACCTAAAATTTAAGATCAGAGCACAAAGGATGCAAATCAACCAAAAGACATGAAATCAGAATTAGGGTTTTAAGTTTGCTTTAAGAAAAATAGCACAGCAACTTTATATTGATAGCAATCTGCCACTGTTAAGTAGCTAATAAAAAGGAGTCTAACAAAACACAGGAGATGAGATACTAAGAAGTTTCTTTACCTAGCCATTCCCAGGCTCGAAAAGTTGGAAGGAACTATCAAAACATCAAGCCTGGAAAAGGGGTGGGTTCCCAGGGTGTTGTAGGCAGCTGAGAGGCACTGAGGAATTAGCTGAAGCAGATGTTCTTCACAGAGTTCCTTAAGGCAACAAGGAGCAAAGACTCTGTAAGGAATGACTGCCTGCAACCTGGCAGCAGGATTCTGGAAACGGCAGGGATATTCCATATGACCACATCTGACAATGACAATAGAAGAAAAAGAAAAATTAGTTTACTGCAATACCAGAAATGTGCACAAATGTGTATGCTAAGGCAAGGATATTCACTGGATATTAGAATGACAGAGTTAGTTTGCAGGAAAGCAACTCATTTGTACTCTCATGCTGTTCACACATGTGCAGCACTATGAAAACACTTATTACTACATGTCTGAGTAGAATTGATATACTCATAACTAAAATAGAGACTAGTCAAACATGCATTAAAAGAATGTGTACTCAAAAAGAACAATAAGTAAGTAACAATAAGTAACAATAAGTAACAATACAAAACCACTTATTTATTCAAAGAATTCCTATTCAAACTTGATCACTAAAATAAAATTTTATTTTGATATTTATATATTAACACTATGTATATATGTATAAATGCAAACATGTGAAGTGCAATTCGAATGAAATTCCAAGTGGGCCATTTTTCTGTTGTTGTTACTGAAACTCACCAGGAACTTTTACTGATCGTTTTTTTTCTCAAGTAAAAAACAACAGTAGATATCAATTTAGGCTTACCACTGTAGATATTTGAAAGTATCACATTAAGATCAAGCTTACTTTACATTACTTTTATGGGATATTTGGAGCTTTAGCTAGAAGGAATGAGGGGTAGATCAAATCCTTCCTCAAGAGTGAGTCATACACCTTCAAAATAATTTATCTGCCCAAATACAGTCATATCTCAGCAGAAATCAGCTTCATGTTTTCACCTGCTAACCTGTCCTCTGTACAGTGCAGAATCTCTCCTTAGTTTGAGATTTCAACTTAAGGAAGCTGGTTCTACTATGCCTGGACAGGCAAAGCACTTATTATTATTGCACCCGACACCACCCAAAGCATTTGTATTTAGAAGATTATGCTCCAGGTGAGTGCTGGCACATACCAGAAAAATGATAACGTGGAGAAAAAGACGATGTTTTGCTTTAGTTCCAACACTTTAAAATCTTCCATAACTCTTTCTGTGAAAGAAGTAGACTCTAAGCTATTTTATTAACTACATATGCAAAGAAACTACATCCATCATTGCACATTTTTTTTCCAAGGGTGGTCCAACTCAGTATACTTCTGTTCTAAAACAATGTCACTTTGCATTTAATTATGGGAGTTGAGATTAGACAAGAACATGGAAGCCAGCACTCTCTGTCCTGTAAGAGTTGCCAAATCCTTAATGACCACAAGGAAATAGGAAACTTATTTAAAACCCTAGCTCCATTTAACATTTTCTTTGATACAGTCTCCTTATGTCAAATTCACTGGCACCTCGACACAAATTACACTGCACATTTCAGTAACTTCAGAAATCCTTCCTTTTCCTGCCATCACAAAGTTTATATCCATTATCTTATTTGAGACACTACCTTAACATTTGCTCATCATGTATACTGTTGGTTTGGTTACCTAGTCTTAATGACTAAAATAAGTAATGTGTCTCGTTGTGCTAACCTCCAAGTAAAGATTAACTGGATGTAACTGTGTAGAGCAGATTTTTAGGGACATAGATTATTATGCCCTAATTAACTGCAAAACAGCACTGTACACTTAGGCTCTCCTTTCCGTCTACACATACTAGTCAACACGCTTGCAGAGGATTTTTTGATATTTTTTTTATATTTGTTCTATTTCTTTCACTTTTGCTGACTCAGCTGTTGCAGATACATAACACTACCTATGTCAAAGAACTCATCCAATGACTGTCACATAGATTGACTCATAACAATGATCGTCACACTGATTGAAATTTGCACTAATTTTTGCTACAAAAATCTACAGATATTTCCCTTTTTCCAAAGGTTTTACAAAAAATGGAAACTTTCATTTATTCTATCAACACATTATGTCAGCATAATCTTTTGAGCCCAATCAATAAAATTCCTACTAGTAATGCACTGTATGTTCAAGAGGAATATATAGAGAACATTTACAGTACAATTCTGTAGAGCCAGTCAACATATAAATCGTAAATAAATAAAAATAAGCTTATCAAATCTATAAATTATTTTAAAGTTTGAATAATTATGTCTTACTGATCTTAGGTAAAATATAAAAATTCTTATCCTTGAGACTTTAACACCAAAATTAGCCAAGTTGCAAGCCATCAGAATCCTTCCATTTTAAATGTCAGTAAGAAATCCCTACTAGGTCCTCAGGTTCCAAAGTCTCACTAGCTTTACCAGAACAGTAAGTATTTCCACTGTCTTAATGTTAACACAGTATTAGTTGAAAATAGCTATCTAAAAGGCTAATTTTTTGGCTAAATTTCTAATTGTATAATAGAAAAAATACTTAAGGCCTGACTAATCTGATCACCACCTACGACAAAGTAATGTTTTCTGTTGACATGGGGAAAACAGTGGATATTGTTTGCCTAGACTTCAGCAAAACATTCATCACAGTTTCCCACAGCTCTCTCCTGGAAAATCTGAGAAGACAGAGGCCGGATGGATGATCTGTGAAACAGGCAGGAATGTGACTCACAGGGGAGAGATTGAGGGGAGAGAGACAGGTGAGAGGGGTGAGAGGGGAGGGGAGGGGTGGGCATAGAGAGGTAAAAGAAGAAAGAGCGGAGAGAAAAGAGGGCAAGGCTCAGAGGGACCTTACCAAAATATTTCAGTACTTAAAGGGTATTTACAAAGGGCACAGAGCCTCTCTTCACAAGGAGCTACATGGAGAAGTGGCAATAGGTGCTAGATAATCTCAGCTAAGCTACCCTTCCCATGAAATATCAGACCAGAGGATCTTTCAAGGTCCCTTCCCACCTTGGCTGTTCTGTGATTCGATGACTCTAAGAATTTGAAAAGCTAAGAGTAACATGTGAGGACATCAAACATCATATCAGAGACTTCTGCTAACTATCATGAGGACATGTGAAAACAAGCAGTATTTCTCCAGAGACTTAATTTTTAGTTTCAAATCTCATTTGCAGGCCTATACAGTAGTCCTGCTCATCCACCACTCTTTAATAATTTAAACCCAATGAGCAGTTTTGACTAGACTGGAAAAAGGAATAGATGTATCCCAAATAATCACATTTCTATGCGTTTGGAGAAAGAGAGCTAAGTAGCCACTGCTTGTGCCAGACAACAAGGTATTTTTGTACTGAAAATAATAATTGGTCTTTCAGGTACACATCACCTCAGACAAAACACTGCACAGGCCAACCCTAACTCTGGGATGGGACTGGACGGTAATAAAAAACCTAGTGAGAAAGGCAATATTGTAGCAGGGGTCATTAGATATCCAGAATGGACCAAGTCTAGTAAAGATCTTACAGCCAGGCATTTCAAGAAACAAGGGAGGACCTGTTATTGCTGCAGCAGGGCATTAAAAGACACAGGATGCTAAACACAAATCCAGAGGACATGGGGATTTATTAACCCTATTGCTCACTAAGCAGCTTGTTTTCACATAAAAAGAACCACACCCTTGCCCATGAAATAATGCCTGTGGAATCATTTTCCTGTTCAGACTAAACGAGTTCTTCTTTGGTTCCTGTACTACTATGACTCAACTTCATACTCAACAGAGTTAAAGAAAATGCTACCCATATATCTCATTTTTCAACAATATTCTAAACACCAACCTGAAATCAGCTTGTGAAAATGGCAAGCAAAACTCGATGTTTGCCTGGATAGCAGCTGTGACAGATTGCTGTTTAACTTCCTGCCAGCACCCCACAGCAATAGTGAATGTAGATGCTGGCATTGGCATGGTCACATAGTAGTACCAACTCAAGACACCTGTAAACAAAAAGAACATTTGTACAGACTCATCAGTAACAGCACATATTCATTACATGACTTCTTTATGTACCTGAGATTTTGGGCCAAATCTCCCACTTTACATCCTGATTTTATGTTGAGAAAAGAAAAATAATTTCACCGAGACATGTAAGCGCAGTAATATGTAACCATCACGGATTCAGTGCTATTTAGTTACACCTACAGCTTTCCTCCATCTGATGATGTCTTTATCTGTAAGTAAATAATCTATAGATGAGATGTTACTAATGCAACTTAACATGATTGTACTCTACTGTCAAAGAATTGCATCAGATGTGAAATCTAATGGCACCTTGAGTTCCACACTCAGAAAGACTGACATTTAACTCTTCCAACTCCAAATCAACCACTGAATAATCTCACACAAACCAAGGTCTTTTCTTTGTGTTCTGGACAGTGCTCAACTGATAGGCAAGTTGTAACATATAGTAATTAGCACTAGTGAATTGGACCTGGCAATCATGTGCCAACCAGGCAGTAAAAAATCAAAGCTTAGAATCAGATGGGATATTGCCAAAGCTAATGGTTTGGTCATGAAAATCCAGAAGCTGCTAAAATAAGGTTAGAGAGTCTATCAGAAGGTAAAAAGATTGCAAGTCTTATCATTATGGGACCACGTGCTGGAAGACAAGGAGTACAGTATAGGATTACCATATCCATGAACATGTTTGGATAAACTGAAGGATGTTATAGAAGGGTATACTTTTCATTAACTTAAATGTTGCTTAGGTATTACCACTCATCCCTTTAAAAAGAGTGTAGCTTAAGGGTCACATTCAACTGTACAAAAGTACAGTTACTATGCCATACTAGTAGGTTAATTTCTCTTGGAAAGAATCTACCATGAGTTACAACCTGCTGAATCATGTGCAAACAATTGTAGCTGTGGCAACTGTGGAAACATACAAATAACTTCAGTTATTTTAAGAGAACATTAATACTTGTTCTTTTGCAATATTACCCTGACCAGGGCTATGAAAGACTACCAAAAGGGAAAAAAAAGAAAAAATCCCACACCAATTCAGTGGAGGCCACAAGGCATAGAGTAAAGGAAATAAACAACTGCAGCAAAGCATCTCTAGTTTTCCTACCTTAATGATAACAGTCAGTCAACCTGCACAATGTAAAGACAAGTACAAAAACATTTTCACTTAGCCTCAACTGATTTTCCACCTACTATTTAGTATGACAAAACAATAGTGTTTGTGAAGTCTTTAAAGAGGAAAAAAAAGCCTCTGGCTCTTATAAGCACTAACAAACACACTCCCTCACTCCATTCCACTTTTGGCAACATTCACCACTACTATCAAAAAACCTTCTGTCTGTATTGTCAGGTGAACATATATTACTCTTGTAATTTTCCTAATCTGCTGTCAGTATGAGCAGAAGGAACTTATTTGCTCCAAACAAAAAGAGGATAACTATTTTGTGAAATTCCACACCCATATCCCCCTGCTTTTCTTTATCATTATCTTACCAACGCTGCTTATGAGCAGAGCAACCAAATGCCACCTTGAGAGAAAGAGCTCACCCAGGACAGCAACAATTTATTATTTTGAAAGACCGAACTTCTTACATAGAGCACCTCATTGATATAAACTGTGATAGAAGCTCATGCCTGCACACACTGAGGTCAACAGCAGCTTTACCATAGACTTAAACATGTACAAGAAAAGGCCCAGAGATAGTCTACAATATTGAACTTTGTGTAGCATCTGTTACATACAAAGTACTACAAAATACTCCACGCACATATGTTAATTGTAAAGAGTTAAATAAATCTGAGGAATCGTAATGGAAAAACAGTAATGTGTTTTCAACTGAGTTCTGAAACAAGCATGAAAGTGAAAAGGCAGTCAGAGAAAACCGTTCCAGACAGCAGGAGGTGTAAAGGATAAGGCTCCCGCTACAGTGAGGAAATTGTCTAAAAGAAAATGCTGCCAGCCTGTGCTGTGCGAACAGAGGGAGCAGAGAGGGTTACAGCAAGAAACAAGTTTAGCAAGACAGGCCATAAAGGGTTTTTTAAAAAAAAAAAAAAACAAACAAGGATAATTTGAACAGATTGTTAAATGAATGGAGAATCAGTTTAGCAGTCCAGAGAGAAGAACAACATGTACCGCATTCAGAAAGTTACATGAATTAGCAATGAACATACGCTATTCAGAGCTGGAATAAGCCTGCAACTGGGAGAAAGTACCAAAGACAAAGAAAATGAGTTTTTCTTGGTATGTGTTTTCCAATTTCTCTAAATGAGGATCTCCTGAAGAAAACAAAAACAACTAAAAGACAGCTCCTTGTCTTTTTTCCAAACTCGTTGCATTTTGCAGGCGTTATAGAGACCAGGTGAACTCTGGATACTCTGAGAACAAGATCCAAATTTTATACTGTCTATACACCCCTAACTAGAGCTCAATCAATTTTCTGCAGGGGTTTTAGATGCCTTCTGCATTCATACTCTAGAACTGTGTATGATAACTGTATTTATCCCACAGGTGTTATGTTTCTGACAACTGAAATCCCACACATGGTACAAAACAAGTGAGCTCTCTCTATACACCGATTGATGACAGAAATGGTCTTTATGTTGGCAACACTTCTTTACAGCAATCACCATAATGTACTGTTTCAAACAGACTCTAACCATCTACCTTTGTTCTCTCAGTACTGATAAGACTGTCTCGCAGCATCCCTTTTTCTCCCAAAACTTCACTTCCTTTCTCTAACTTTCTTCAGGTCAATGGGCTTTGTTCTGTCTTCCTTCATCTACAACCTCAGATCTATCCCAGGGCACAAACTGGGATCAAAAGCTCCACTCCTTTGCCTTCTCTACCCTCTCCCTGGCTGCCCTCTGCGTTGCATTTGCTACCTCGGAGACAGCACCACCTCTACGGTAAGAGAAAACACTGCAGCTGAAACTAGGAGACGGCTTTCTTTACCAAACCCGGAATTTTGTACGACAAAATCATTTTCATTCTAAGCAAGGACACCTTGGGGAGAAAAAGAGATTAGGCTGGGGTTAGTTCATGGGAAAAATATAGGAAAAGCACCCTAGTCCCTTTACTTCTAATGCTTACACCCCCTCCTTCTTTAATGCAAGACTTTATTTTTTTTCAGTTCTACAAAGCAAATCTATCATGTGATAACTGCATAAACCATGCAACAACAACTGCCCATTCTATGAGGTATAACTAGAAAGCATCCCACACCAAATTTGGGATTACCTTTAACAAGGATAGGAAATAATTTTCTATTTATAATTGTGCAAAAGACCAATTTAAAGGACATTTATTTTTCCTACTTGAAATAATAATGATGAACGTTGTTACTGCTTCTTAGAATTTTTAATGCATTTAGCTATCTTAGAAACCATTAAAACTCTTTGAGTCCTGTGGAGTCTGTTATAACTGAAGAAATACCTGAAAGGCAGTAATCTGTTAAAGCCAAACGCAAGAACATTAACAGTATTTTTACTTATTAGTATATTTTCCCTCATGTCCATGATTTGCTAAAAACCACAAAACTCAGGTGACTCTAGGGAAAAAAGAGACAGTCCCACACAGCATTTGACATATAAAGTAAGAGTAATACATAAAACTACATAAAACTACAGCGAAACAAGTAGCTATGCCAAAACTACTATTTGGCTGGAGTGCCAGGATTAAGAACCCTCCAGCTTTCTGAAACTCTTTGTAACTTGTAAAAATCTTTGATCTCATCTGAAAGCCAGAATTTCCCACAGAGCACCCTCTCACTGATGCCAAAGCATTAGTTCAGCACCGGCTCAGAGGGACAAGGAGCATGTGATGAGCCGTTGACTCCCATGCTGTAGCTCCTAATGTATGTTGGAGATCAACCAACACAAGCGCTGGACTCTTTTGTTTTGCTTTGTGAGAAGTGGGAGGTGCACAAACAAAAGCTGCTGCTGTTGCTGTTAGCTACAGAGTAGTAGCTTCTCTAGCACCATGTTTACTCTCAATAACAGATTGTACCTTTTCACTGGAATCAGAGACAAAACAAGACCAAGGACTACCTAATGGTAGAGTAACTACACAAAAATCAAACTGGTCAATTTCACACTTACTGGTTGAATATCTACTTCTTGAAGATGAATTGAAACAAATGTGTTTGTGACTAAATATATTTGTGCCTTCTGTGTGTTACAGTAATAGCTGAAGGAAAGTAAAACAACAAGTGTGAAAAATAAATCCAGTGGTTAAATGGCTCATATTACACACACACATACACACTCTCTGCTCCCTGTAAAGCTTTCTCCCAAAGGGCATCAACTGCATTTTTCTGTCACATTATTTTCTCTCAGTATTCCATAAAGAACGCACGATATTTTTAAGCACTTTTAGGTTATACTTGAGTAAGTGACATATCAGTATTTTCAAACAAATGTGGCCTCACTCTATTTTAAACGACAGGACGAGCCTTAGTTTTGGAGGAGGCAGACTGCAAAAACGGCACACATGGGAGGAAGTACACTATTACCAAAACGTGCAAATAGAAGTGGCAAATGAGGAATTGGTGCGTGCAAATACGCCTAGTCTAACTATGCACTGGATCACAGCATCCATGCACCTAGAGATACAGGTGTATGGATACCTGTAAAGCAGAATGCAGATAATTTAAAAGCATGAAGGTGTACCACCTTTGCTTGCTGTTTCCTTATCATCTGCCTGCACTCTTCTTATAAATATGACTTCTGAAGGAAAAAATATTCAGCTCACTTGTAATTCTATTCAGAATAAAATAATTCGCAACTCCTTGAAAAAACATTTATTCTTTCCCAAAAATTGCTTTTTGAAAAACACATTTTTGAGTTCTGCTAGCTATGTATGATTTTATAATTGTGCAGCACAGCAATAGCATACTGTGTACAAATAATTTGGCAAAGAAAAATTATTTTAACTGAAGTCATCCTGAAAGGCCTTTAGGACTGTTTTATAAATGTAAAGACAAAACGTTAAATGGGATGGATTTCATGCACCCTGCATAATTGTCTAACCATAAGATCTTTGTGGAACAGGTTATTTAACGCTAGAGACCATTCTGAACTTTTTAAAAGTCTTACTAATTAATGAATTTGTATTCCTAATTTCATTAAGAATTATTCAATGTTTCAGATTAGCTCTTGAGCCTTGGGTTGGTTGGTTCATTTGTTTTTTAAAACACTTCTCACAACACTGCTCCTTTCCTTTATTTCCTCTATATCCGTTTTGTTAATTTCTTATAAACAATACAAAACTTTGCCATTGTCACACGGCTCCTAAAGGAACCAACTTGAGTGCTACATTTGGTTCTGCCCAGTTCACTTAATACTTTTCACTCAGCACTTCATTAGTACAGTGAAGCTAAAATGAGTCATTTCCTCCCTACTGACTTTTACATTAAAGACTTCTTACAGTACTTCTTTCTGTAGCAGAGTTCTTAGGAAAGGAAATATACTGGGTTAGCCTTTGGAAAAATTAAAAAAACAAAAAACCCACACCAAAACAAACACAGCTTTACGGTGACACATGAATTATCAAACTGATACACTGCAACAAGTACAATAATTTTAAAAAAAAAAAAACCTTCCTGTTCTCCATGGGGCGACAAGGTTGACAAAACAATGAGGAAATAATTCTTTCCCAATACAGCCTTGTCAACCAATTGGTCTAAGAGAATATAAATTTTAATCAACCTATGCCAATTTATACTGCCTGATCTTTTTTCCAATGTTTCTATTTCTAGAAATTCACATAAGCATTCTTCCTCTTAATATTTTAGACCACACAGTAAGCACTGAGGGACAGACAGACAACAACTCATTGGCAAGGTGTAAGTCTGGATTAAACTAATTAAACAATTATGGTAGAGCTACCCTCCTAGTTTGAAGTCAAGAAAAATCTTGCTTTCTTGTTGCTGACACAGGGAAGTATTATTGTCCAAGAGAGCTTAGCAGCTCATTGTGGCAGATTTCCATATTTCAACAGCAGAGACAAGTCCTGAAACAGGCTTCACATATGGCCATAAATAACAAGACAATTGCATGCAAATGAATTATTTGATGGTTCTCAAATCAAGGAGATTTTCATTCTTTTTTTTTTTCCCTCAAGTATAAACTTCTCTCTTTAAAGGGGAACAGGAAGTTATTTTATTTTCCCCAGAAACACCTAATTCTAACCTTTTTTACTATATGCTCAAACTACTTACACAAGAAAATACTGACCCTGTTTGGCATATTATCTCAAAAGTAATGGAAGCAAGACATGCTTTGTATTATTTTGTGTAGAACTGCTTTAAAAACTTCATTTTATGTATAGACAGAGGTATAGAGCACAAAGTATAACCAAAACAGAAGAAAAATGTGTGTTTGCCTACTGTTGCACAAGACATGATGTATGAATGCCAAAAAAACCCCAAAGACCAGATTTTCAGGAACTGACCTGATATTCTTTCTGTAATCAGTATATTTCAGAAAAAAGATATGCCACAATGACTGCATCTAATCATTGGCATGCTCAGCTACACTTGGACTGGAGAATTAAAACTGAAAAATAATTATCTACCAAGGCCCAAAGTTGTAAATAGCCTGGTAAGCTAGTTCACTGATGAAACATTCAACTACAGCATCATTAAAACAAAGCCAATTTATGACAAGTGAAGTCTAGGTTTGGAAAAAGGAAAAAAAAAACACAGAAAAAAGTAAACAAGTAACACAGTGAAACATAGATGCCTTGAATTCTTACTGAGTTATCCTGAGGACCCAAGCAGGCAATTTCTCTACAGAATGACATGGAGATTACAGATAAACATGTAAGTGCTTTTAAGGGTAGGCACTTCATTCTTTCAAAAATCATATAGATAGTAAGATATATTTCTAACTATAAAATTATTTAAAACAATTTGCTATAGGAAATACATTTCACCTTCTTGAAGCTGGGCTGGTTCTGCTGAGTTTTCACCACTCATTAACACAACAAAGCCTGCAGCTGTTCGGACTGAGGCTTGCCATGTTGACAAGGCAATGGGTGGTTCTTGGCATGGGAAAAGGGCTCTGTTGTTTATTGGCGATCCCACCGTAAAAACACATGGCCTAGATGGAAGGAGAAGAGACTGAAGTTGTAGTTACAATAAGAACAATTGAATTAGGGTTTTTTGTGAAAAATCAAACCTACTGTAATACTGAGGGGTTTTTTTTTTAGTCTCAGCTATGTTGATTTCAAACTTGTATAACATAAACTAATCGAAGTATGATCCAAGTAATTTCAGACAGAATGAAGAAAAGCAAGACTACCGCAATAATAGTCTAGTCTATCTCCTGTTGTGCTTCTGCATGAGCCTTTCAGCTTCATACAGAAGTTCTCAGATGAACCTGTAAGGCCAAAGAAGGCTTCTGAATGTCTTCTGAAAATGCAGTTGCAGGACTTCACCAACACCAGTAACACCTGACTGTTGTCATCACAGCAGTCCTTTCATTACCATTAATCCCATCTCTCCATACAACCTGGAGGCTCATCCAAACTCAGGGCAGTAGATGTTGCCTTGAATCTTCCTTAGTCCAAGCCACAATAAATCCTGACATTTTTACATTTCTTCTTGCAGTAAGGTAATGCACACTAGCTCATCTGCCTTTCAGAATTTCAACCATAGGCCTTAAAACAACAAGAAAGCATTTCTTCCCTATCAGCCTCAACCTCCTTTTCCTGATTTTCACATAGCGATCTTCCTTGTAGTATTGCTCTTTTTTCAGTTTCTCTAACCATTTCCTAGGCAGCCTCTCCATCTACTGCTCCAGTCCAATTTCAGCTGCAATATTTCATGCCAGCCAATTTCTTAGCAGCAGCAGTTTAGCCACATCTGGGAAGGTAACATTTCATTAACTCCTTCTAGTTTGCTATTGCTGATGCACAAATGCACTAATTCCTGGTTTACTTCTTTTGTTGCATTTTGCAGTTTATCTTCATTCCTAGTACTTGCGTAATACCATCCCTTACCTTGAAAAAAGCTGTTTTCAAATATAAACTAAATAAAACAAATACAGCAAGCAAGCTTCTCCAGCTAAAGTAAGAAAATCTTGGAAGCATCACTTCACTGCACTGAGGTTTTAAAAATCTATATTTAAAGCTAATATTCTGGGAGCACAACACATTATTTTGTGAATGCTTTAGGCTAAAAACATTCTGATCAGCATCTTTCAGAACTTGAGTTTAAAAATCATCACACTTCAGAAAATGTAAGACAAGTTCTTAGGGCAAAACTCATTTTGCAATGGCTAAGATCTGACAATCTTGTTTACTCCCCGCCAAACAGCTCTTTCATTCAAATTATTCCTTCCCTAAAGCCAACTCTAAACTACAGAGCGGGAAGGAACTTGTGAGATACTGATGGCCACAGACAAAAAATATTCTGAAGCTATTTTCGCCCTCTTGTCAAAAACACTGTCTGTGTTATTGGATTCAGAACTATCCATTGCACAATCAAGTTACTGTGGCTTAATCAGTGCAGGCCAGATGATCTTTCAGTAAAACAGAGAGGGACGCTGCAGTTTAAGCAGGCCTACCGCTAGTGCACACAAACTGAAAAATAAAATAATCTGGCTCCCCCTTCCACGTACTAGGGTGAATAGAGTGCGACACAGATATCCAGTGAAGCTCAGTGGATAACTGTAGTGTTGAGGAACTCAATTGATTAACTTCTACCCAATAAAACACAATGTACAGCTAAACGTAAAATACCACTGGTCTGTACAAATCTTTAATTAGCTTTAATTTCTTTGGAAACAATCTCTTAAAACTGAATCTGTAGCCAACTCTCAGAGACATAAAATAATTGGGTTTGCTCCCAAAAAAAAGAAACACTGCATTCACAAGACAAAAGAAGAGCTTGTTTTTCACCTCCTAGGAGGTTCTGCTTCCCCTTATCATGCTGGCCAAGAGATACTGGACATATTATTTACTCTAAAACATAGATGTGCTGGGAGGGGATAGGAAGGAAAGGATGGTGCTCACTCATGAAAACTTTAACAAATACACAGGATTACAGAAAGAGACCCTAGTAGAGTTTATAGGAATGAGAGGAAAGGTGAGGTTACTGAATGCTGATATAAATATTTTACAAATGATCTACTATACATTTGAAGATTGTTTTGCTGGCTTCCATTAGTATAGCCCAGTCTTAAGAGCAGTATAGGCCATACCCATACAATAGCGAAATTTTAGGGAAATGTTACAAAAACTGAGAAAACGGGCCTGCAGAACAGCACCAAGCAGAATGTTGCAACACTGTATCTAATACAATAGAAATGTAACACAGAAAAGACACTACTGAGACCATCAAATTTATGTTGCTCTCAGCACTTTTTAGCTGCAGGCCATTTATTCCTACCACTGCTAGCAAGAAATTTCACAGTTCCTTTCCTTTTTCCTACTATCTATCCCCTTCATCTGTCTTCTTTCACTTTTTACATTTCACTTGTAACATTCAAATTATCTACTTATGTAATATGTTGTTTACACCAGTCATAATCTTTGCCACCAGAGGTTGGAAGAGTTATGGAAACTGAATACAGGAAAAGTCAGCTAAGTAGAGAACTCGGACTGTTTGTCTAAGTACTTGTTACACTGGAAAAACAAGCACCCACAAAATACACAATACTTCTCTGGTCATTTATTTGGGCAGCTTTATGACTAGTAACTCCCAGTGATCAACAATCCAGGCTACTGGAGAAATGAAGCACTAGTTGTGGCATTAGTAGTTTTTATTCCGAGAGGAGGCTCGTTGCTGCCTGTTGTTCAGTAATCTCCCAGAGCCAAGGATTCTGAGGAAAATTTGGTTCATGCAACCCTAACGCACCAGCATTCCATACATTTTCACAACCAGTTCAAACCAGCTCTTGGCAGATTGTTCTTTCCCATGTAAGCATATCAATTGCAGTAACAAATTAAACTACTACCTTAAAGCTAATAATAAATGTTCAGGAATCTGCAGGTCTTCTCTGAGATACGTGCCATTAAACACCTGAATCATGTCCTAAAGTTCAGCCATGTCAACCTGCTTTGTTTAGTGCCTGTTTGAAGCTTTCTGAAAGAAAATGCCCAGCTGAGCAGCTCTACCCCTTTCCTGTATTTGAAAAAATACATTCCCGATTTCTTCAACGGTTGTCTCCCATGTAAGGATGTAGGGTGGCAACCTCCTGCAACTACGAGGCTACTCCTTGTAAACCCACTGCTGTTTGCAGCTGCTTCTTACTCTGTGGTGTAATTTCCACAAAGTAGCAGGATTTACTGGCACCCAAATCACACCAACTTTTTTGTCGTGCCTTATCAATTTACATATCCACAAAGTGCCAGTGATTGCCATCACATTCCAATAGAGCAAGTATTCTTGTTTTCATTTTTTCTGTTTTATAAAATACCAGTCAAAAACTACCCATGTCTTTTTGAGACATTCTCCAATTTAAAAGTACTAAATATGGTTATGAGATGAGTGATTTCACTGACTTTTCCAGTAATCTCTGTTACTCTGATCTGATGCCGGTTTTCCAATAGCTGGATAGCTGCATTTTCTAAACTTATACTTCATTGTAAATTTTGTCGACTTTTGTCCACAAATTTGTGGTCCACATCAGATATGTCAATTCTGCTTCTTCTAGATACAGTATTCCCATAATCTCCTGTTCAAAAGTTTCAAGTTTTGGTACAGTCATCACTAGGAAGCAAGGATAAGAAGTTTAAGACAGGTCATACCTTTTCAATCCAAAGTAAATCAATTTAATGCTTACTGTGCTCCCACTTTGCCTCTAACAGTGAGGATTTATTCCTTTGCTTGACCTGTATTTTTGGCAAATGCAATACACTTATCAGCTTCTTCAATGTTGTTAAGAGAGTGTCCTAAACTTGAAGTCACACATCTGACCAGTCCCTTAGGTATTTCACTCCCTGTATGTCTTTCAACACTTCTTCAGTAACACCTTAGGAAGTACCACCTGACTGTGTTTAAACAAAATTTAATTTCATTGCCATAGCTCCCATTTAAATGTTAGTAAGGATCTGACTATAGGCAAACAGATTTCCTCACTGCTTTATTCCCACAGTAGTGAAAAAAAATCCAATCCCTGGCAAGCCTCTGTCTGTAAAAACAGGAGACAATTCTCCTACAGATGTGAACGGTGACACAGCTGGATTTTCTTATTCTGAAATCAAAGGTTGCTTTGGTTTCTTGGCCAGCCAATTCACAAACACAGAGGTGCTGCTTTGACTCTTCATTCCCTTATCACTTTCTCTTTAATGTTCTGCATCTTCACCCTCCTTTTAGATTTGAAAATCAAATCAGACTTCTATTGTTTATATGGATAACGGTGTTTTCATGTAACTATTTCATTCTCAGACTCTTCTGATCTAGTACGGTTCTCTCATTGGCACATTTTAGTGAAGTAACATGCCTTCTGTATTCCTTCTGCCTGAAGGAGTTGATCTCGTCCCTTGTACTCCTGTACGCGGTGTCCCTCTGGATGCCCAAAACTTACTTCGTCAGTACAGTGCTGTAGGCATTCACTTATGACACCTACATCTCAGTTCTCTGAAAAAGAATTTAAGTTCACTAAAAAAATCCCTCGTTTCTCATGGCCTTCCTGTTTAGTTAGTACAATCAATTCAGAGAAGCTGTTTTAAAATTTTTAGAAATATTTGTTCCTTGCCATCCACATTCAAATCAGTTAATCAATCAGCATGCAGGTTTAGAGAGGTAAAGAGTGTCTCTTTCAGCAAGCATATTTTTCCTTTTAGGCTCTCTCTCCTTCCCCTCTTCCCATTAGTACAAAATAAGCTCTGTGGCTGACACTATACACTTTGGAGGCACAAAATAACAACACAAGGCATTATGTTGAACTTCAAGGGTAATCAGAAAGACTTCACACTACCTAGGGAGAAACTGTATGATCTAATCTGGGCCTAAGGAAGTGCAGTTGTCCTCTTTTTTTGAAGGCCTAGCATATATGTTCTAAGTACAGCCTAAAATGTCCAGGTATGTCAGCACAATTAGGGAATGACTTGTAGCCAATACCCAGATAATATCCACTGCAAATTGCTAGTTCACTGTAGCGAAACACAATTTTTCACTCTTAAATACCAATCATTACGAACAATTTTAAAGCCTTTAGATGGTCATTTGACATCTGCAGGACATAAAAGATGATAGACTTAAAAAATTCTCAATCAAAACTTTGAAGATTTCTGTCTGGAGAGCAATCATTCCATATGTGAAATGGTGACATTTTGCTTCTTCAGCAGTCTCTAGATGAAACAATTTCGTAATTCTTGCAAACTGTTCCAAAACTTGAGAGAATTACATACACAAAAATGTATTGGATTCCACTCCCTGTTTTTTTCTAGGTTATACAGAAAATTCATAAACATGGATTTCTACATGTTACTTCCTGGAAGTTAAAGATTACTGCTGAAGAATTCATTTGCAACTTCAAACTTCACCTAAATATTCAAGAAACGTATTTAGCATGTTTCCACTACCCTGAATATTCACTAAAAATCTCAAGTTTGGAACATTTATGAAAAGTTCAGACTCTTTCAAAAAGGAATACCAACTATGAATTAGATTTTAACATAGTAAAAAATAAAAAATTTCAGTGTTGCTATGTATACTTTTATACAGTTTTTATTTAGTTCTTGCTATATACAACATACTACATAACATAGTCTGATGGACTACAGTGCCAAAGAAGAGTATGAACTTTTAAGAGCTTATCTTCAGAAGTACTTAGATGTATGAACACCTCGTCACCAATGCATCTGAATAATTGCAACTGCTCTCTTTGAACATGATTTGCATTTCAAAACACATGTGTCTTACAAAAAGAGGCAGGCTTGAAACAGCCAGTTTCAAAAAAAGTGGAACAAACCTCTCTGTCTCATCTGCGGGTAAAAAAAATAATAAGGAGTTGCACAAGTCCCAATGCCAGCAAGATCCAACCTGACACGGCCTCTTAACACAGGTCGACAAGACAGATCACAGTAGTTATGGCAGAACTTTTCTAATAATTCTTCGCTGTTCCAGAAGAATCAGTAACATCAAATTACTTAAACAGAAAACCAAGTTTTATGACTATGTTAGGTACCTCTCTGAATACTCTCCTAGTGACTATCTACCTCAGGTGCTTCAGCTGCACATTACAGAAATGCAAGATTATTTACAACAAATGAGCAACCATGCAGTTCAGTGATATTTGTGATACAGCTGAACATTGCATCTGAAAAGAAGCATTTAATTACAGAATACATGCTAGTATTAGCACTTCTACTGAACAGGACTTTTAAGCTTGCTGTACTACGCGTTCATAGATTTCATAAGCGCAAAAATATTTCCTGAATTTTTTTATAAAATACTTTAATACTTACTTAGTAAGATTAACATAAAGATAATTAACTAGACAGGTTCAAAATATTTTTCAAAGGTAAGACACTTACATTGGTCAAATAAATAAGAAGATACTATATTTTTTTTAGGAGAACTGTTCACATTTTCCATTACTTCCAACTTTGGAAAATTAGCATAAGGTTAATTCTTTCTAGAATGTTCCCCAGAAACTTCTCAATCATCTTTTAATGGCTTCTAAAAATATACTTTTTCCACAGCACTCTCAGGAAAACCATACACTTGGAGTAATTCAACCCATCCCCTTCCCAGAATTTCTCCTTTTCTGTGTTTCTGATATGTAGGGCTCAATCTGAAAAAATAAATTCCTGTTCCTGACCGACTCATGCACCTATTCCTGTGTGCCGAGGTAAATAATGCACAGGTAGCTTACAGGATTAGGACCAAGTACTGGAAGGTTTCAGTGTCGTGAAATGTCCTTCACTGATGTCGCTTGTATCAAAGGTACTCTTTCATTCCTAATCACAGAATGAGGAAATTAGTTCCATTCCAGTTTTTCATTAATATCAACAAAACCATTACTTAATCTATGACAGCAGTAGAAGTGGCAGTAAGTAAGGCAGAACAAAACTAGCAAGAATCTCCTATTAGAGGTGAATTCTCAAGGCCGCCTGCTAGGAAAATTGCCTCTTTAATTTACATCTAAATGTGCTTAATTCTTTTCTTAAACAATAAAAAGATGGGATCCCAGGATATTTTAACAAATAAGGATTTAATCTGAAATAGCCTTGTAGCCATGCTGACTCAACACCACTACATACTCCTAAGAGTTAGGCAAAACTCCTTAAACATCTTGATGAGCTGACAAAAAGTTTCTCCCTCCCAATAATGAAAGATGTTTTACATATGTTATTTACTCCACAAAGTGATTACTATAGTGTCTAAAGCGAGTTTTTATTTTAAATATTTTTGTAATATTTAATATAAGTAAGAATACTTCAAACTAAAGCACAATTTTGTTAAAATTGCAACATTACTTTCTTAATTTGAAATCTTGGGTGCTGTACTGTGCTGGCAAACAATTTAAAAACTTTGAAACAGAATTATTGTCTGTTCATGCTAAATACATTACAAACATTACAATCAGCACTATTTTCTTCAAATTTAATAATTACATTATTGATCACTGTTAAAAGTGACCTGCCAATTTTAAAAATTGATATAGTCCTTGCAGGTATAACTTTTGATGTGTGTATTTAGATATACATATCTTCCTTTTTGATCATTAATGTATTTTCTAGTATCAAAAGCCCAAACAGGGAAATGCTCAAATCCCGCGTTTCCCCGTTTCTCTGCTGAAAACACAAGTGTGCCCTGCTGTGCTACCATCACGTTCGCATACACATATCTCAACGTGCCTAAACTCATCCCAAAAAGCTTTGTTTTAACCGACTTTTTTGGTGTATTAGAATACATCGTTGTTTAAAACAAATAAAATGGAAGTCTTTATAAAATAGTGCATTTGTTAAATTTCAGAACATTGTACTAGCATTAAATTAGAGGAAACTTATTGGAAGGGACCACACAATGCCTGTACTTTGTTATTCATTTTTCTTCAGGGTTAGATCCATACAGTATAGACTCTTCTGGGACATCTGTCTAAAAAAGCACCATGTGCAGGACTTGAACAATTTAAAGAATTTCCCTGTGAGAATATAATATAATAGTACTTCTCCTATACATTATACCTGGACTTTATTTTTAGAAAGGTAAGGAAAAATATGATAGAATTTTGCACAATGAACTTTACTACTATATTTACAGGTTCATCACGTACAGAATTTGATTTTAAAAATGTAGTAAGAATTATTCTAATGACTGTGATATGAAAACTTATTTTCCAACAGGCATTAGTTTCTGGAATACCCTACAAAAGACTGAAAATAAACCAGCTTAAGACTACCATCATACTGCCTCACTCATGTCAAACCATCTTTTTCTGCTTCATTACTGGTTCATATAATCCCATGTTTTTGTGTACTATTGTCATGAAATGTCTGTAAAGAATTATGGTTTGCAGTGAAAGGGAAAAGAGTTCAAAATGAAAAGACGTCAGTGACTTAGATGCTCAGAAAAAAACTTCAAATACTCCAAACACAGAGAGCACATAGAGAAGGAGCTCTATACCAATTGAGTATTTCTAATATTAGTCTTGAAGACTTTACTAAGGGGTAAATAAAGACACATTATGTGATCACAGGCAATATGCCTACTTTTGCATGTAGTCAGAATTCATAATTTTCATAACTGTAGACAGTATATTAAGTTAAATTTCCTAAACTCATACTGAAAACAAGTCTTTGGGGAGTGAGGAAAGAGGAGAAAGGGGAGGAGGTAATGAACATGACTTAGACATTCCTGGACTTGATGCTGCTCATCGTTTACATAACTGTTAGACATACAATTAAAAGGCCTCATTTCCTCCCCTGACATGGATGCCAGTGAAAAGACTCTTAATTTCTATTAGCATAACTGAAATGAAAGTAACCATATATCTCTAGATTGGGAACGAAAAGCAAGTATTCAATTACAGCAAATTTCTTCCCTATCTTCCAGCTTGGTTCCTTTCAGGTATCATAAAGAACTAAGCCATTAAAATCCAGCTTTGAACATTACTGTAAACCAATTACAGTTACAGAAATCAAGAGTGTATTGTAATTTCCCTCCTATAAAGAGCTTATCTTGAAGGTTTTTGTACAGCATCATGTACTTTCACAAACACTAGACAAAATGCCAATTGTTCTTGCAGTTCAGTTTGCAGTTTATTTGCTGTTGTCTTTGTACTTTACATAACAGATGAAGGAAATTTTAAAAGTTGATTATGAGAGACTAAGCAGGAAAAGACTGCATCTCTAAACTTATTACGATATTGATAAAATACTAGCTGTGAAGCAATTCTATTAAATATTATGTATAATGATCTTTATGCTGTATGATCACTTGTGTAAGTCAGGAGGGAAAAAGAACACAAAGTATTAAAGTGAAAATAACTTGATGTGTACCTACTCTTTTCCTAAGCGATATAATTCCCTATTCCCTGAACACATTTACTCCTATACACAAAAATAATTTACTTCCACGCAGAAAGAGCAAATACAATCACTCAGATAGCCTGAGATCTGCAAGTCCATTGGGGTTTCTTGAGCAGAGAGTTTCTCTGTTCTCCTGCAGGACAGCAACAGCATTCAAACCAAGAATGAAATGAAAACAATGGAAGAGAATGTTCATCATCTTCACAGCTGCTCAGCATTACAACATTCTACATTCTTGCACCTATGTGTAAAACTAACATATACAGAGCTTTCAGCTAACAATTACATACCTGCCACTCTGGTCTGTAGTCCATGTAACAGATCTTCCTTCTGGCTTGGTTTTGTACCATATTCTTATAGCATGAGGAAAGTCTGTTGGAGTCTGAATTCCTGATTTCCTTATCTCCAAGCTCCAAGTGCCAGTAGTAAACAGAAGCTCCCCACAGCCAGGCGCCTGGCTGCAGTGAGTAAAATAATATAGCTGTTCCTTCCAGCGATCTGCAGGTAAAGTCACAAGTTCATGTACAATGTGATTCCTGAGATTTTCCAGCTCCTTCGAAACATCAGTGAGCTTGGCAGACCTTGTGAATTTTTCAATGCCTGACACAGCAGCAACATCGACCTCTTCAACCCTTAGCACAGACAAATCACAGCAGTCCAATATCAGCAGAAAATCCTTGTTCCCATGATTCTCTATGCCATAGCAGTCCTTTGAACCAGAAATCCCAGAAGTCTGTTCCTTGTTGCTATGGTTACCATTTTTATCAGAAGTATCTTCTTCACCTTTACCACAGGCAGCAAAATCATTATATTCCATTTTGGAGGAACAGGCACTTGCATTTGTCACAGGAATGTGGCAGGGTTCAGATGCCCTCAGTTTACAGGTTTCATCAAACTGTGACTGGCAGCCTTCTTTGCCAGTACTGCTGGTTTTCCTGTACCGACTCCCAGTCTCAAAGAATAAAACTATGCTGCCTTCAATAACTTTACTTTTAAAATCCACATCCAAGTCCAAAATATAGTGCTTTACAAGCATGTAGCTAGTGTTGGCCATTAAGGGCAAGTCATCCTTCATGGGGTCAAGCTGTGTCTCCATGTTCCAGTTCACTGGGCAACAGTTTTACAAAGCCTTACAAATTTCGTATATATGATGTCTCCACACAAAGCAAAGATATTCTCAGTGCCCAAAATTATTTTGATTGATGTTGCAGTATTGAAATAGTTGCAGCTCCTCTGGTTCTTACATTCTATCAAAGAAAAAAAGGAAAAAGAAATCAGATAATCATTTCGCAACTGTTTCTGAAACATACTAAATGTAAACTGCCTTTATTAAATATAGTAGAGTCAAAGGGTGATACTGTCCCCACAGAATGGCATCAAGCCATTTATTTCAAGACTTGCTGTCAAGAACCATTGGCTTTATTTTTCAGAGATCTCATATGACAATATTTCTAAACAGCTTTTATAAACTGAAAGAAACAAGCTTTTCTACAGGCCAGCTCTTGACTCTGTCCACAATAATTCTTCAGAAAAGATACATGATTATGCAACATACAATTTCATTTACTAGTGCGCTGTTTGTTTTTAAGCTTGCTGTACTTATTTCAAATCCATTACCTCAAAAAGATAGTGATCATTTTTCTACTGTGATTCTAAGTAGCAGAGGTAACCCTAAATCACCTCATCTGTCTTAAAGTAATAATTTCAAATATACAATGTGTCTCCAAGGATTAATATACTTTCCCCATTACAATTGCTCTCATATCAGCACTTCTAGTAAATTACAAGAAAACGAGCCAATTTACTAAAAGTGCATTCCAAGTATTCCTTTGAGATTGCTCGTCAAGAATTTTCAAATTTATAGTTAAATACCATAGCTGGAAGCCCATCAAGACTCAGAATCATAGTATCTTACAGAAGACAAAAGGTCTTCTCACTGGAAAACATGCAAATATTTATAATAGCAATAAAACATTAAAATGCATCAACATTTGCACAGTAACAGGCAGAGGTTCATCACACAAGTTTAACTGTCATGCATTCTCTGTTTTGCTACAGCCACTTAGTTATGCACTTCTAGCTCTGTTAAGTCCTTTTTGTCTGCTTTCTGGACTAAAAATAAAAGTCAGAGGAAGAAACAACTGTTAAGATGTGCAGTTCTCTCCCTGCCAGTTCAGTGACAATTTCATGATAGGCAGTCAAGTCTGGGTTTAAGTGCCTTAAGTAAACAGACTCCCCCAAGACCTCCTATGTCTTTTACAGGAATCCAGAGCATGCTGTCAAGCTACCAACAGTAAGTAAAAGACTCAGGCCAAGAAATTATCTATACCATTCCCCAAACTAGCTCCATGCAAAGCACACAAAACATGGAAAATATTTCCTTTCTTTGATGGCTTTCTACCAGTCAGACACAGCTCTTACAGGAATATATCTGAAGACAAGCTAGAAAAATCTTTCTTTCACTTTTACGTCAACCCTCCTGCACTTCTGCAAACATACCAGGGCACCAAGCTCATCACAGAAGGTCCTCTTTCATGTAATTTCAAAATAATTTGAAGATTTCCTGTAAGAGACACTCGTTGCATCTTTCAAACTGCCTACAGTAGATACTTCTTTCTTCTCCATTTGAAAGCCTTCCCAAACCTTTTCTCTGAATCTAATCATCTTGTTCATTATAATAGTTTACTACTATGAGTACTTTCAAACTTCAGTTATTTGTGAGAAAATACTTTGCATCTTAAATTGCCTTAACTGATGTACTTTTAGAATTCAACCTTGTATGAGGATCCAAAAATCAGATTCATGAGCTTCTGCAGAGTCCCAGTGATTTCAGTGTGAGTTGGTGAATGAGCAATGTGTATAAATAGCATATGGCCATTACAATCATGCCCTTGTCTTGACACCTAACTGGGAATACAAGTAGAGCAGCCAAAGGTTCTAACTTCCATGACACCAGCAATGCATCTATGCTGTCTGTGACATATGCTGTGGACTGAACTTGATGTTACATTGATTATTTTCTGACTGCCTATGACTTTGGACAGGTTAGATAAGTGGTGGTGGTAGAGAAAAGAAATAAAGTGACTTAGTAGAGAAAAAATCCAACAGTGACTTGGCATTCAAGAATCTCTGTTTTGCACAAATATTTATATTTTCTCATTTGAAAACCAAACTATCTATTTTCATTTATAAAATGTAAGTACTATACTAATGACAAGTATTTGTGTTATAATACTTCTAAGTGTTTATAGCCCTGTTTCTCTCTTTTCCATTTGGAGGACGTGATCAATTTCTCACCTAAAACATATTAAGGTAATGACACTAATTTACATTAAATTCTCAGCCACCTGGTAAGAAGCACTTCTGAATACATTAAGATACATAGCAAAGCTTCAGTTCAATGCCTGCAAAACAATACTTATTTTCTAGAGGACTGTCAGGTTTATTCAACATTTATTTACAGGGCAGATTAAAAGATGACCAATAGTACCAAACAGGTAAACTCAATTCAAATTTAAAACAGAAAAAAAAAAAACCACACAAAATCCCTACCACAATGAACTGAAACATTATAAAAAAAGTAATTCTATAAATATAAATTCCCTTCAAAACTATTAATACCAAAGCATGAAATCCATGAGATTTGAGAGATAAATGAAAACAAAGGCCAATGAGGCTAAAAAAATGTGGAGTCAACATTTATTTTCTACAGCTGACAGTTTCAGACCAACACTTGGAGATGACACATCTTATCATGTTTACAAACAGAGCAAGATAAAAGAGGAATACACTTTTAGACAAGTAAAAACTATTACTATATAAACTCTGGCACTGAATTTTAATTGTGATGTAACACTCTGTATTTTTAATCCTATCTCAAATCACCTTAACTTTAGATATGTCAGCTTTCAGAAATTGTACATTGCCTCTTTATCTCAAAGAAGCAGTAAATGAATTTAAATGGCTGTTTTCAGGTGTCTCGGCTCCTGAACCCCTGAAGAATTTTTCATTAAATATTTACAAGAGTCTATAGAAAATCAGAACTGTGCAACAAAAAAGCTGATATGCTATTCTATTTTGATAGCGCTGGGGACTCATTCAAATGTCTATTTTCTACTGTATTTTGATAATTTTATATTGCTACTGAATCAGCAAAAAGCTCTGACTTCTCTGTAAAGTAAGTTTCTCTTAAAAATGATAATTTTATTTCTCCACTAAGAACTCACACTGCAAGTTGCATCCTATGAAATGAGGTGGTGTCCCAAGTAATTTGAGATAGTCCTACTTAGAGCTCTCCTACATGGGAAAGAATTGAACTACACACTACGGTTTTAAGGCCAGGTAATCATGCATACTTTCAATGTAAACTTTAGTTTTGTAATAATTTCACCAATTTTAGCTTTTTAGAAGTAGGAGTTGAATTACAAAGGTACAGCAAACTCCACTAATCAACTGCAGACTTTCTATATATAAAGACTTCAGATGGTATAATCTGCAAAAACAGACAGAAAATTATATTAAAAGAAACACTGAAAAAGTCCAAGGAAATATATGGCCATGAACTTACTTGTCAGTCTTGGGATTTACACATCTCCACTGTGAACTTCTGCCTACATGTCATTAACTGAAGTTCTGATACTTCACAGCTTCTAGCTAAAGCAAATATATTTGCTAACAGCTTCATCACTGTTTTTTCAATATCCAACAGCAAAGACACACTGAATTCAGAGAAAAAAAATGCACACAAACAAAAAGACTGATTTTTTATAAAATGTTATTTCTATACTATCTGGTTTATGACTGGAGCCTCCAAAGAACTACTCCTCATGAAATAACATGCCAAAAATCCACTGTTAGCAAAACAGAAATTATAAATGAAATTATTTCCTTCCCCTGTTCTCCAGTTTTTTCATGTTTGGTTTAGACATTTTTGTACTACTGTATAGTTGTACAAATTAAGAAACATCAGAAACATACCATAAAACAACATAAAAGAAAATCAAACTCATCAATTTTAGAGGTTAGCTTAAAATTATTTTTTGTTATATCTGTAAAATTTCAATTCCAGTAACTTACACATATCTATTTCTGTAATATAAATAAATGGCCAGAAGCAAATGCTAAAAAGCAGTAAAAGAATCTTGAAGTCCAACCTTGGAATTGTAAATAAGCATCAGAAGTGCTGCAGATACTGTTCAATATATGTTAATGCTGCTATAAAGAAATTATTCAATAACATTCTTGCACTGGACAGTTCTTAGCGAAGCACTCATTCGTACAAGTTGTGCTACAGCACAGTTCAGCACCTTTCTGCTGGCAGCAGTAGTCCATACATAGCCTACAGAAAAACTCCACATTTAAGACAAATTGGAAAGAAGCAACTATTAGTGTAATTGTTTTGATCATTTGTTATAAAATCACGGAGAGAAAGGGCTTATGTATCTCCACTATACACTGCCATTCTCTGGAGGCAGGAACTCTGCATTAGAATCATAGAATGTCAGCGTTGGAAGGGACCTTAAAGATTATCTAGTTCCAACTCCCCTGCCATGGGCAGGGACATCCCCCACTAGATCAGGCTGCTCAGAGCCCCATCCAGCCTGGCCTTAAAAACTTCCAGGGATGGGGCTTCCACCACCTCTCTGGGCAACCTGTGCCAGTGTCTCACCACCCTCATGGGGAAGAGCTTCTTCCTAATGTGCAATCTGAACTGATGCACCTCTGGCTTCAATCCATTCCCCCAAGTCCTATCATTACTTGATGTCCTAAAAAGCCCCTCACCAGCTTTCATGTAGGCCTCCTTGAGATACTGGAAGGCCACAATAACGTCTCCTCAGCACCTCCTTTTCTCCAGACTGAACAGCCCCAACTCTCTCAGTCTATCTTCATAGGAGAGGCGCTCCAGCCCTCTGAGCATCCTCGTGGCCCTTCTCTGGACACACTCCAGCACGTCCATATCTTTCTTGTGCTGTGGGCTCCAGAACTGGACGCAGTACTCCAGGTGAGGTCTCATGAGAGTGGAGCAGAGGAGAAGCATCACCTCCCTCAACCTGCTGGCCATGAACCTCTTGATGCAGCCCAGGACACTATTGGCTT